GAAGTGTGCCACGGGAAGCATGTACGGCAGTACCATGAGGACAAGGAGACGGGGCAGGTAAAATCATTGGTTATGATGTTTGCTGTTAAAGAACATGCCAGATCCTTATTTATAGCGTTCCTTCTATTTTATTAGAAATGCATACAGTACTACTCAGAAGTTTGGGATTGGTAAGATTTGGCAATGTTTTTGAAAGACGTCTCTTATGGTCACCAAGGCTGGATTTATTTGTTAAAAAATACAGTAAAAACAGTAATTGTAAAATATCATTACTTAATAATTAATTAATTTAAAATAACTGATTTCAATTTAAATATTTATTTCTGCGATGGTAAAGCTGAATTCTCAGCAGCCATTACTCCAGTCTTCAGTGTCACCTGATCCATTAAATACATCCTTGCTGAATAAAAGTAATAATTTCTTTAAAAAAATCTTACCGATCCCAAACATTAGTGTATGTGGATGGATTATATTAAGATATTTCTAAGTAATATAAACATTTCAATGGTCTCATTTGTCAATGGTTCCTCAGAAGATCAGCATTCAGGAATACTATCTGGGTACCATGAAAAAAGGGAGTGCAGGTTGGTTCATTTTTAAGCTTAAGTTTTTCTAATTATTTCTTTACATATTCTAGTAAAGTATTAAATATTTGATCAATATATTATCTGCTCCTCAGAATCAGAAATGGAAAAATCCAGTGACTCTGAATCAGAAAGATCAAACACCAACACACAGGTTTGTAGCTGTTAAATATAAAGGTAGGAAATGTGTGTGACCTGAGGATGTTTTTAAAACTCTCTTTGTGTTCCCAGGTGCCAACAAAGAATATAGAGGGTCAGCTGACACCATACTATCCCGTAGAGATGGGACATGGGACTGAATGCTCTCTGAAACAGAATAACCCTCGCTGTACCACAGTGCTGTACGTCTGCCACCCGGAGGCAAAACATGAGATCCTCACGATCGCTGAGGTCACCACCTGTCAGTATGAAGTAGTGGTGCTCACACCCCTCCTCTGTCCACACCCGAAATACAGGTACATACACAAACGCATTCAAAGTCAATTTCCATTTTTAGTCCTTTGTGACAGAATCCAGCCCATCTTTCCTCAGGTTCAAGTTGTCCCCAGTGAATGACATCTTTTGCCAGGCTCTGGGTGGCTCCCCTCTCAGACCTCAGAGTCTGTCCCAGCTGGATCGTGAGCAGGAAGAGCTGCTCAAACCACCGTTCAGCTCAAGTGGCGAAAGAGATCAGAGAGGATCCAGGGTGAGTACGCATCTGCCCTTTATCTTCTGCATTCACACTAACCTACTTGGGGATAAGGGGCGATAACGAATAACTGCTGCAAAAAATAGTTCTGAAAAGTATATAAAAATGTATTTAAAGTATTGTAAAAATATTTTTAAAAAAAATGTAATCCCTCTGTCTCCCTTGCTAAGGAGGATACATCTCCAGTGAAAGAAGAGGCATATACCTCTACCCATAAGCCCCTGACAGTGGGCGGGCAAGCCCAGGTCACCGTTGGCACCACCCACATCTCCCGTCTGACTGATGAACAGCTGATCAAGGAGTTTCTGAGTGGCTCATACTGTCTGCATGGGGTGAGGATGGATGGATGGATTTTTTTTCTATAATTGTAGATATTTAAGTTTAACATATGTTTGTTTCTGTCTAGGGCGTTGGATGGTGGAAGTATGAATTCTGTTACGGAAAGCATGTCCACCAGTATCATGAGGTAAGAGTTGTGAAGTCTTTGAATTCTTTAGAAAATATAATAATTCCCAGTATAGTGTAAAGGTCTGGATTATATGATAGATGCTAAATTGCATTTTGTGCATTTGGTTGAAGGATAGAGAACAAGGGAAGAACATTGTGGTGGTGGGCAGCTGGAACACTGAGGATCATATTGACTGGGCCAAGAAAAACGTGGCACGATCTTATCATTTGAAAGACGATGGAGCGCAGAAAGTCAAGTATGATTTTTATTTCCCTCACATACAAGGTGCTTTAAAAAATTGAATAATATAAATAAAAATATATATATACAGACTCCATGTACGTGTGTATGTGTGAGTATATAGATATATTATCTGTGTGTCATATTTTAATGTGTCATGTTGTCTTGGTGATACCTCATCAGGGTCGTATCTTACTTCTATGGCCGTGGAGATGTTTGTGACCTAACAAGGAAACCGAGACAGGTTATAGTCAAGCTCAAGTGAGATATCCAAACTTCTTGATGCTATGAGGTTTTTGGGTTTGTTGAATGCTGCCACTAACACCTACCTGTTCTGTCTCAGGTGTAAGGAGTCCGAGTCTCCTCATGCTGTTACAGTTTACATGCTGGAACCTCAGACCTGTCAATATGTTCTTGGGGTGAGTGGCAAACAAAATGTCTTTGAGATTTGACTACAATTTTATTTTGGTTTGATGTTATGGCTTATGAAATGCGACAGTGTGATCATTTCATATCGATAACCCTTAACCTGGTTATTATTCTGCCTCAGGTTGAGTCGCCCATAATATGCAAGATCTTGGACACTGCAGATGAAAACGGACTTCTTTCAATCCCTAGCTAGCCTAGATGGAGGAATGGTTAGTTTGGAGAATGAACAATACAGAAGAGGAAGGCAGTATGATGCTCAGAGGGAGAGATAAAAGTCTGATGAAGTCTAGTAGTTTCATAGATATGGCGATAACATGGACTTGCTGAACCTCAGACCTCCACCCTTTGAGAAAGTCCCTCAGTGACTGCACTTTCTGTTGTTTGAAGACTAAAGGAGGACATTTGAAAAATCTTAAACCTGGAGATGCCGCTAGGACTAAATTCTCAATGTTTTATTTACAAATCTCAAACCTGTTGAAGAATATTTTTGTTCCTCTTTTCATGCTTTGGCACAGTTAGATGGTTGGCTGTGGTAAAGTCACTTTAAAAATCTAATGAGGAGTTATTAATTTGTTCTGTTAATCAATTGCTGTTTTAAATATACATTATTTATTTGATGAAACTTTTGGTAGTTCAGTGCTTGCCATTATCACTGTGCAGATGGGGATGGTTATTACATTGTTTTAAAAGTGATTTAAGAAGTAATTGTGCAATGCAAATTGCAAGGGAAAATACAAAGGAAAGGAAAGTGAATGTAATTAAACAGTTTTTTGGAAATCATGGGTCATTGATTTATGTTTACAATTTGTGATTACCCTCACTTAAATGTAACCACTTCCACTATTGTACAATAATGTGTTTGGCGAAGGGCTCCTCGTAACTCTTATAAGAACACATTTATCAAGAGTATTTCATTGCATTGCCTGCAATGCTGGTTGTTACTCAGCCTGTACATGAAAATATGAGTTTTATGTTTCAAGTCATTTCAGAAGATTCATACACCACCTTAAAAATACACTGCAAAAAATTTGGATTTTAGTATTTTTGCCTGGTTTTCTAGTACAAATATTTAAACATTCTTAAATCAAGATACATTTACTTAAAGGGATAGTTCACCCAAAAATGAAAATTTGATGATTATCTGCTTACTCCCAGGGCATCTAAGATGTAGGTGACTTTGTTTCTTTAGTAGAACACAAATGGAGATTTTTAACTCAAAACGTTGCAGTCTGTCAGTCATATAATTGAAGTGGACGGGAATCACGGCTTTGAGAGTAAAAAAAAAACATACACAAACAAAACCAAATTAAACCCTGCAGCTCGTGACGATACATTGATGTGTAAAGACAAGTTTCAGCAAGAAACTGAACAGTATTTATATAGTTTTTTTTACCTCTGATTCACGCAATGTCCGAACTGTCCTGAGCGCGTTCTCAACAGCAGGCACGTGAGGCGTCTTCTTCTTCTTGCTTTACGGCGGATCGCAGACTTATAAGTGCATTACCTCCACCTATCTCTCAAATGGACCATTGACACTCCCAATTGAGATTGTAGATAGTGTCAATGGTCCATTTGAGAGATAGGTGGTAATACACTTATAAGTCTGCGATCCACCGTAAAGCAAGAAGAAGAAGACGCCTCACGCGCACGCTGAAGAAGAAGATGCGAATGCACTCAGGACAGTTCAGCCATTGCGGTGAAAATCAGAGGTAAAAAACGATATACTGTTCAGTTTCTTGCACAGACCGATCATTTTGTGTCTTTACACATCAATGTATCGTCACGAGCCGCAGGGTTTAATTTGGTTTTGTTTGTGTATGTTTTATGACTCTCAAAGCCGTGATTCCCATCCACTTAAATTATAAGACTGACAGACTGCAACGGATTGAGTTAAAAATCTTCGTTTGTGTTCTACTGAAGAAACAAAGTCACCTACATCTTAGATGCCCTGGGAGTAAGCAGATAAACATCAAATTTTCATTTTTGGGTGAACTATCCCTTTAATATGCAAAATGACTCAAAGTCTTGTTTTCTGAAAAATATCAAAATTGTATTATACTTAAGGAAAAATTATTTTTTTTGAGATGAGCATAAAATGACAAATTTTTTTTATTTTATTTTTTTAAAATCTCTTTGTACTGGCATTGTACTGGAAAACAAAGCGAAAAAGCAGAACAAGATTTTTTTTTTTGCAGTGTAAATCTTTTTTCCCTATTTATGTTACAATGAAAATTAAACCAATTTATTTTCCTAAACAGAATCATTAGGGCAGCACTATTCATTATAACAAAAAAAATGTCTTATGGAGAATTTGAAATGAACACATGCCTCTGCTAAACATTACAAATTGGCCTGAAGGGTCCATTTACCCACGCTAGGTGCTGCTAGTGTCTCTTTTTGTTGATAGTTTTTTTTTTTCCAAGGGAACTAATAATGCTCTTACATAAAAACATCCATCCATAGCTTATTAATGCTTAAGGAATGTCAATACCTTAAAAGTGATGATTGACAAAGCAAACTACAGCTGTACATTATTAAACGTTTGGTCTCAAATGAAAGAAATGTCAGCATACACTTGCAAAACATTTAATAAGTTCATATATAAAATGTAGGATGTTTCACAAATACATAATCTGCATGAAGACTATTACTGTACATGAAAATGCCATGTCAATGTAAAAATAGAACATCCTTCAGTCCAGAAAACATTGAGAATAACACTTTTGGGGAAAGCGACAATTAGCTAGTCCCATTTTCTTTTTATTGGATACTCGATGCATATTGTCTCTTAAGCAAAACACCACTAGCGAACCACAAGCAAACACTATAAATGCTCCCCTTTGGATGCTGAGCAAGTAGCATGACGTTCTACAGCTCAGACTGAGGGGATGGGAATCTGATGAGCCGAGGTGCTGTCAAAGTCCTGCAGCGCCTCCTGGTGGGTGTGGTAGTGCATAGCCACGTAGCTTTTGGCAAAGGCCGTGGTTTGAGAGTTGACCGGCTGCAGGCTATTGGGGGAACTCGGGCCTGCTGACGGACTGCTGTTATAGATACTGTAGTAGGGTTCTATGCGCGTATTGATGGGCGTAGATGTGCTCGGGGGTCGGGGCTTGCGTCCAGCGGTGGCACAGGGACTAGGCATGCTGTCCCGGGAGTGACTGGGTCCGCAAGCCTGATCCACCAGCCTTCTTTGAGGCTTCGGCGAGAGCATGTACGCAGAGTTGGTCTCGTGGTGTGAGGACTTGTTACAGTTGACTTTCAGGCTTCCTTTGCCCATAGCGTGTAGGCGTGTCTTGTGCTTGCAGCACAGGAAGCCCAAGGTCAGCCACTGGAGGCAGCAGAGCACACGGCGGCGCAGACCCGCGCTATTGCGCGAGTATACAAACGGGTTGATTCCAGACTTCAGGAAGATAAGGGCAAATCCACAGAGCTCAAATTGGTAGTGGATAAAGCTGCTCTCCGGTGACACCATATCCTGCGCCAAGGATATACCTAGTGGTAGACAGCACAGCAACACTGAGATGACGATCACTATGCATGTGATCACAGCCTTTGAATCCTTGGCTGTCGCCAGGTTAACTGTGGAGACCAACTGGCAGCAAGTCGCTCCAGTGGCAGCCCCGGGCACGAGGGGCTGGTTGGTTCTCCTGGTGAAGGAGTGCGTTTGGACATGTTGGAGCTTGTTGTAGGTCTGGTTGCAGTACAGCGAGGGCACCTGCACTGTACACTGCATGCCCTCGAAACCTGCGGCAATGAGCGGCGGATGAGAAGCAAGTGGACGTGTCGCATCCACCGTGATGATGGGACACTTCCGAACCTGAGCGTTCTTCCTCAATGCCCGAGCGATCATGAGGTACGAGATGGACACCACACCTACACAGAAAGCAAAGTCTGCAATGTATACATACAATACTACCTTGGCCTTGTTGCCGCTAAGACCAAAGTGAGGCAGGCAAGGTCCGGAGCTCCTGGGATACGCTCGTAAGGTGACCAACGCCGCCAGCGTGAAACTGGTGGTCCATAATAGTGCCGTGAGAGCCAGAGTACAGGGGAATGAAGCCGTACGGTTGGGCTGCTGACCCAGGACCATGCGGAGCCGATGTAGGGCAATCACAGCCACCGTTTCGAGGGACATAATGATGAAGCCCGAGCTAGTGAGGTGGAAGGCAAAGCAGAAGGCCTTGGACACGCCACCGCTAGTGTCTCCAGCGTCCAGAAAGAGCACCAGTGCAAACATGGGCGCGGTGACGCAGCAAATGAACAGGTCACAGAAGGACAGGTTGAGGATCATGAAGTCGAAGTTGGTGCGGAACTTGCGGAACGCCGGGTCGAAGAAGGACAAGAAGACCACCAAGTTTCCATAAGAACCGAGACAAAAGATGAGGACCAACAGGAGGGAGCAGGAGGCGAGTGTAGCCGTGTGGATTAAGGCCCAGCCGCTCACCGAAGCAGACTGGCTCTGGGAGCTGTTGAAGCCCCGAGGTTTCGCAAACTCAGCCAGGTCCAAAGGCCAGGCAGTGCTGTTCATGGTACACATGGGGATGCAAAGTGATCACAGCCTCAGAGTGTTGCCCATTTTGCCTTTAGGTCACCCAAGAGCGAACTAATACTCCCATTGTGCACATGGTTCATGGTAGACCCTCTGGATTGCTGCAAGGACACAAGGGATAAGAATATTGATTAGTAACAGACAATATGAAGCTTTGCCTATGATAATTGGAACACAATAAATTAACATAAATAAGCAAGCCTAAAGGCTTTAAAAAAAAAAAACATTCGAAGGATTCGATTTATGTTATATCACCTGGTGCACAAATTATTTGGAATTTCTTTAAAAACACAGAGCATCAGGATGACTGTTGTACCTTATATCATCCGTGCGCGCTCCTGTCATCCACAGATCTATCGATTAAGATGAATACGTGCCTGCAACAATCTGCATAGTATCTGAAGGCTTTTCTTATCCGTTAACCTCTGTTAAGAATATTACTGCAGGTGAATGTGCGCCGACTATAAAATCGTGTCAAAAATGCATCCAGCCCCCATCTTTGAAAGAACATATACAATAAATCACATGCATCGTTAAAACAAACGTCCAGTAAATATCTAATAAATCGTTCAGTCTATTCACACAGTCGCCTATAACCCTGCGGCATTCTTTCTCCACTTGCCGAAAAAAGATGATTTTCTTACCATGGATTCCTTATGTGTGCCTTTTTTACGCCGCCGCGTTTTCCACATTTGTACGAATTTCCAAAGTACATGAACGTTACAAACATCCTAGTTAGAGAAAGAGCATCGCAGCAAAAGATGAGAATGAAAAAGAGTGAATTTAATGCACAGATGGAGAGTGGGCGCGCCTCACTGGAATCATAAGCCGTGAATGGACAGCAAGCGCGTGCCCGTGAGTACAGGACGCTCACTCAGGAAGCAGTCTAATGTTGTTTGTGATTTAAATATTTTGTTATATTTATTGTTACAGTTCAGGCTATATGTGTAATTATATATATAGTGAAATAAAATACAATGGAAATGATTTTATATATATATATATATATATATATATAAAATGCTTATATAAA